CCCCCAAATAGGATACACCAACTTAAACCCCGAGGCCTGACCCCTCCGCACCGCATCAATGCCGCCAATCACTCCGCGCAACCCCCCGGACTCCTCCTGCACGGGGTGCGTGACCAGCCCTCCCTCCGCCAGAACCGCCTCCATCTCCGCGTACCACCGCTCCGCCGCGGCGCGGTCGGCCGGCCTGGCCAGGAGGTTGTACGGCGCCTCCCAGCCGACGATCTCGCGCCCGAACTGCGTGAACAGGAACACCCACTCCGGGCGCACGCTGCGGCGCGTGTGTCGGTGCAGCGGGAACGGGTCCAGCGAGACGTACTTGCCGCCCGCGCGGCCGATCGCCTCGTAGCAGATCTGCATCGACTCCGTCGTGCTGATGCAGTCCAGCGCGAAGGCCAGCGTGTTGGCCGTGTGGTCGCGCAGGTCCGACCCGCAGGTCGGCGACCGGTAGTCGAAGGTCGCCGCCGCGCCGAGTTGCTGCAGCCGCGCGAAGTTGTGCGGGGAGCTGGTGGTTAGTGGGGTGAAGCCGGAGCTGTGGGCATTTGAGCAGATGTTAGTTGAGCTGGGACGCTTTTTCTTTTGCGGTTCTGTGAGATGTAGGCGTTGGCTTACCGGCGTAGCACTTGGATGGCCAGCGTCCCTGTCGCGGTCCCTCCACCGTATACCAGGACATACGTCGGAGTCCTTTTTGCGGCAATACTCTCCGACTCGGACGCTCCGGCGCCCACCAGCGGCAGGCCGAGAGTCTGGTACAGCGCCAATCCGGTGGTCGCCAGCCCGCAGCCCAGCGTCGCCGCCTGCTGGAAGCTCATCGAGTCCGGGATGCAGAGCACCAGCGCCGCGGGCACCGCCACGTACTCGGCAAAGGCGCCGTTGTCGCGCTGGCCCGCGTTGTTGCCGAACACGCAGCCGCACACGCGCGTGCCCAGAGCCAGCCGCGACGACGAGAAAGCGGACGAGGTGACCCCCTCGCCGAGGGCCACGATCTCGCCCGCAAAATCCAGCCCGGCGGTGGCACCGGGGCTGGGCGATATGTCGGCGGATTTGGCGTCGTAGGGGTTCAGTCCGACACAGGCGACCCGCACCAGCACCTCGTCGGCGCCCACCTGCGGTAAGGGCTGGCTGGTCTGCAGCTCGATGCTGCCGGGACCGGCTATCTTCAGTGCCTGTTGGGTAGTCGGTAACTCGCTCATGGTGATGATGTGAGTGGAGAGGATGTGGGCGTGGGTTGAGGCTATGGCTGTGGCTGTGGCTGTCTTCGCGAGCTGTCGACGCCTGGAGACTAGTGGACTGGATATGTATGAGGTCTGGTCTTGTTTATGACCGAATGGCGATTGCTGTGATGAAACTGATTCCAATGGTCTCTATCCTTCTGGAATTTCCGATGTGGATAGCGCCGCGGACTGATTGGCGGGCGGGGTCCGGCGGGCGGACGGACTTAGGGCTGACGCCGGAATTGCTGCTTACTTTCCACAGCCATTGTCCGGAGGATGCATCATCAGGAGAGGTTTCGGAGATCAATGCAGTAACCAACACAGAAAACAGTACGTACGTTATCTACTGACATGATCCACGTTTGCCCGACGGTGCCCTTCCCCTGTCTCAAGTGAATCGTTAATTCCTTAGAGGCACATTGACAATCCCAGCCCGTCAAACTCCAACATGGCAACCAGCGCTTTCTTGCAGCAATTCCAGACAGACGAGTCCAAGGGCCAGTATGTAAGTGCAGTAGCTGGCTCGGTGCTCGTCTTTGCCAGTGCGTTTGCATTGAACGCCATGAGGCGACCGAAAGAATTCACGACCGACGAGGGCAAGCGCATCGCTGAACTTCCCGCTGATGTGCGCATGTCCAAGTTCATTCGCAGGTGAAGATCCCCCATGAGCAGTTCCTACACCAGTAAATACTGATCGGGCTCACTGACAACCCTCAAGTCGGGAATTGTCCGAACAAGGCGAGGCGCTCGCCGGCACCGAGCCGTATCTCATCCGCAGCGGGCCCTACCGCGAACTGGTGATCAGCCAGCCCGACCAAGTCCACGAGTTCTACCGCAGCGACAGCAAGAGCCACACCAAGCCCCGTAATCTGAACCTGGGCGAGCCCTTTGGCCGCTTCCTGGGCCCCTGTGTCGGCGTGCAGTACGGCGACCACTGGCGGGCGATCCGCAAGCACTTCGACCCGCCCTTCGCCTTCCATCCGGTCGCCCAGCGGATCCCCCGGTTCCAGCGGGAGATCGAGGCCTGGCTGGAGAGCAAGGCCCCCACGGCGACCAGCGAGCTCGACAGCAAGGTCGATTTCCGGTTCTTGGTCTTCAAGCTGCTCTCGCTGCACCTGTATGAAGATGCTTTCGATGACCGAGTGCGTTCACCATATTGCATTGAGATGGCGGATCGGGAACTGACAAGATACGACTAGTCCTACTGGACGCTGCTGGAGCTGAACGACCAGCACGACGCCATCATGATGGACATGCTGGTCAGCAAGCACCCGGACTCCAAGCTCTACAACCTGCTGCCCAGCGCCCCGCGCAAGCGACTGCAGGAATTCCACACCCGGTGGCAGGAGTTCAACCGGCTGATCGTCGAGAACGCCCGTGTCGTAAGCACTCTCATCAACCCTCACAATGCCAGTACTAATATCACCCCCAGGGCGGCTGGGCGTGTCCCGTTGAGACAATCTACCGCGGCGTGGAGCCAGACAAGGACTTCACCGAAGACGCTGTACGTGCACCCCCGAGACCGCTACAAACTCAAATCCGGAGTCCATACTAACACCGGCACAGTTCCTCGCAACCCTGACCGAGATCCTTTTCGCCAACGTCAACATCAGCGCCGAGGTCTTCCGCACCATCTTCACCAACCTGGCCGCCAACCCCCGCATCCAGACGGCACTCCGGCAGGAGATCCAGGAGTGGAAGGCGAAGCCCGACTTCGATCTGTCCAAGTACCTCGCGAAGCAGGATACCTTGCTCAACCGCGTGCTGATGGAGAGCATGCGCATCTCGCCTGCTTTCTGTGGGTCCCCTTGGGCCCCACCTATTCCATCTTACTTACAAGGGGGACACTGCATTGCTAACCTCAATCTGAATATAGGGTTCTCCATGCCCGAAACCACGGCGGAGCCTAAGAAGATTGGCGGGTACAACATCCCCGCCGGCACGCCGGTGGTGATCGACACGCGTCGCCTGAACAACGGGGCCGCCACTTGGGGTGATGATGGCGTGGATCGGTTCGACCCCGATCGGTTTCTGAAGGTGGCCAGCCAGGACCTGCGCTGTGGGTTCATGCGGTTTGGGACGGGGGCGGCGTCCGGACGGTGCCTGGGGAAGAATGTCGCGGATGCGGTGTTCAAGCTGACGGTGATGGAGGTGTTGGAGCGGTTCCGGCTGGAGAGCGTGAGTGAGAGTGCCAAGGAGGGGCGGACGTTGGATGTCCGGTTGGTGGCGTTGAAGTAAGCCGGTTGACGCGTTGACGCGTTGCTGTAGTTGTTTTATTGTTTTGGAATGTTGGTTGCTGTGCTGGGTTGAATTCGATTATGGGTTTGGTTCGTCTGAAATCTATGGTGTTTGTTCTTGAACTCTGCGAGATTACAGTATGCAACCTCGTAGTCCGGAGAGACTGGCTACTGGATACATTGAAGACAGCTTAATACAGTATTGCGATCGAGATATATGGAAGACACAGTTTTTCGATGGGTTAGGAACGAAGTGGACCGACTCTAGTACTCTACTGCACCCCTTGTGGATCTTACGAGTACAGTACACTACCTGTCCGCATGCAATAGAACATTCTAAACCACGTTTTTTTCTTCATTCAAAACGAACACTAACTAGCTAAGGAGTAGCTACATTCAATCTCATCCCGGACAAGACTAGCAGGGATCGGAGTACGCCTGTCTGTCTGCATGCACGCGGCCTGCGCCTCCGGCCTGCACCTCCGGCCTCCGCCCTGCATTTCCCCTTCACGTCCCCCCTAACCCCTAACTACTTGTGCAACGCAACCAAAACCCCCGTCTTGTTCGACGGTCCAATGCGCATGACCGAGACAAACGGATTCTCATCGCGCGGCTCAATGCGACTGTACACCTGCGCCAACCGGGCCAGGATATACGCCGTCTCCGTCTGGACCATCATCTGGGCCGGACAGCGGCGGGGCCCGCCGCCGAAGGGCACAAACTCCCAGAAATGGGCCTGATCGACGAAGCGCTCCGGCTTGAAGGCGTCGACGTCCTCCCCGAAGTAGAGGGGATCCTTCTGCATGACCGTCTTCGTGACCTGGACGACATCGCCCTTGCGAATCAGGATGGGCGACTTGCCGTCGGGCCCGCCCCCGAGCGGCAGGGTGGTGTCGTTGATGCACATGCGCACCTGCGACACGTTGTTGGGGTTGAGCCGGTGCGTCTCGTTGATGCACGCGTTGAGGTACTTCATGCCCCGCAGCGCCTCGAAGGTGAGCGGCGCGTCGCCGTGGGCCAGCACCTCCGCCCGCACCTTCGCCCACGCCTCCGGGTTCCGCGCCAGGTGCCACACCACGTTGCCCGTGAAGATCGAGGTCGTGTCGTTGTTGGGCACGAAGAGCAGCGACAGCTGCGATCGCAGTTCCGCCCGCTCCGGGCAGTGCTTCGCCATGTACCACAGCAGATCCAGCCGCTCGGGCCCCACGTCCTCCCCCGCCGCGATCCGCCGCTCCCGCTCCGCGATGTCCGCGTACACCCGGTCCAGGTGCTCGTCCATGTACGCGTGCACGATCTTGATCGCCCGCAGCCACCACGACCAGTCGATCAGGTTCATCACCTTGTACATCTGGAGTCGTAGTCGGTTGCCCCGCAGCACGTCCAGCATCGCCCAGGTCACCCGTGCGCGCTCGGGGTGCGTCAATGCGTCCATGGGCGCGCCGAAGATGAAATTGGTGGTCACGTCGAGGAACTGGGTGGGTTGTTAGTTGAATGAGCGTGGACTGACGGAGAAGGGAGGGGGGGGGGGCTCACCCATCGCTGGAGGTAGGGCTGGATGTTGACCGTCTCTCCGTCCGGAGGCAGGATGCGCAGGAGATGGTCCGTGTAGGAGCGCAGCCGCTCGGTGTCGGCGTAGACCTCGCGCATGAAGAAGGGCTTGATCAGCGCGCGGCTGAAGACCCAGTCCTCGCCGTCGACGACGTTGACGCCGCGGTTGGCGAACGCGGCGCCGGCATTCTTGTAGCGACGGAGCGGGCTGATGGCGAAGTCCTTCCAGTTGATGGCCGTCAGGGACTTGAGGTTCTCGGGCTCGATCGTGTAGACGACCCGCGTGCCCATGAAGGTGATCTGGAAGGTCTTGGGCTGGCCCTTGTGCAGCTCGCTGAGCCAGGGGATGAAGTAGTGGCCCCGCAGCGCCTGCCACTGCGTCCACACCAAATCCACGCCCCAGAACGGCTCCCACTGGAACCGCGAGGGCACAGACTTGCAGCCCCAGGACCGCTGCTTGCGCAGGTCGCTCGCGCGCCGGACAAAGGACCGGAACAGAAGCGCCAGGAAGCCTGAGCAAAGGAGCAGAATGGGCAGGCTCTGCACCGGGAGGTTGTGGTACTGCACCAACATGATGGAAAAATCGTGTTGTTGCTGCTTTTAAGGGATAAAAAATGATGTCAAAATTGTAGCCAAGCAGGTTGGCAGTAGCATTCAATTCATTAAAAGGCCGGATCATTCCATATATCTATCTATTGCCAGTCAGCCCCAACTCAAGGCAAGGTCAGTCCGGAGTTGCTTGGCGGGCATCTCCGGGGCGGATGGAATCTGACCGGACATCAGCACCGCAACCGCCGGACTTTTGAAACTCACCCCCAGCCCAACTGGATCTCCTGTCCATGTGCTTTTCCGACACCACACCGCAGGCCTCAGCCTTGTCCGACGGTCTCATTGGGTGTAGTTTCATTGGATGCGCTTCTCCGCGTGGCAGACAGGGGTTCAGTCCGCGTGGACGTCCGCTCCGGCGGGTCTGAAGATGAGGCTGGGGCTAGGGCTTGGATATGCCTGTGCATACTACACATCGCAGACGTATACATACGCTCTACGATCGCACCACCTGTCAACTCCTCATCATCTGATCATTTGTACATCTCTCCCTCAACTTCAACAGAATTCAGGACGACTTGCCGCGGATAGCAGTGACTCGCTATTCCCACACACACTCCCCACTCTTTCAACAACAACCACAATCAAAAATGCCTTCCTCCGTTCCTGAACCCATCGCCATCGTCGGCTCCTCCTGTCGGTTTCCCGGCTCGGCCTCCTCCCCCTCCAAGCTCTGGGACCTCCTCCGCCAGCCCCGTGACGTGCGGCGAGAGCTGAACGCCCAGAACCTCAACCTCAAGCGCTTCTACCACCCGTCCGGGGACACCCATGGCTCGACCGACGTCAAGGGCCAGGGCTATCTGCTGGCTGAAGACAGCCGGCTCTTTGACCCGGCCTTCTTCGGCATCAGCCCCTTCGAGGCCGACACCATCGACCCGCAACAGCGCATCCTGCTGGAAGCCGTCTACGAGACCTTTGAGAGCGCCGGCTACACGCTGAGCCAGATGCGCGGGTCGCAGACCTCGGTGCATGTCGGCGTGATGACCGACGACTACCACGACATCCAGGTGCGCGACCTCGAGAGCATCCCTCAATACACTAGCACGGGGACCTCGCGAAGTATCCTGGCGAACCGCATCTCGTACGTGTTCGACCTGCACGGGCCCTCGGTCACCGTCGACACCGCCTGCTCCAGCTCGCTGGTCGCCCTGCACCAGGCGGTCCAGAGTCTGCAGCTCGGGGAGGTAAGCTGTGCGGTGGTGGGCGGGGTGAACCTGATCTTCGACGCCGTCATGTACGTTGCCGAGTCGAAGCTGCACATGCTCTCCCCGGACTCGCAGTCGCGCATGTGGGACAAGACCGCCAACGGCTATGCGCGCGGAGAGGGCGCCGCCGCCATCCTGCTGAAGCCGCTCAGCCAGGCCATCCGCGACAATGATCACATCGAGGGCTTGATCCGGGGCAGCGGGATCAACTCCGACGGCCAGAGCCAGGGTATCACTATGCCTACATCGGCGGCCCAGGCGGCCCTCATTCGGAGCACATACCAGCGGGCCGGCCTCGACCCCATCAGGGATCGGTGTCAGTACTTCGAGTGTCACGGCACGGGCACCGCCGCAGGTGACCCCGTCGAGGCGCAAGCGATCAGTGAGGCCCTCCTCGGGGAGGATGCATCCACCGGCGTGAACACAGACGACGAGAGCTCGCCACTTTATGTCGGCTCGATCAAGACCGTGACTGGTCACCTGGAAGGGTGCGCCGGTCTGGCCGGTGTCCTGAAGGCGCTGGTCTCCATCAAGCATCGCACCATTCCGCCCAACATGCTCTTCAATGAGCTGAACCCCAAAATCGAGCCGTACTACGGTCCCATGCAGATCGCGACCGCGCCCGTTCCCTGGCCCAAGCTCGCTCCGGGGGTGCCTCTTCGCGTGAGCGTCAACAGCTTCGGGTTCGGTGGTACCAACGCCCACGTTATCCTGGATAGCTACGAGACTCCAGAACAGGAACCCGTCGCTGAAGGCAGTGCGCCACTCGGCCCCATCGTGCTCTCCGCTCACTCCGGCGCCTCACTCTTGGGCAACGCCGAGGGACTCCTGCAGTACCTGCAGGACAACCCGTCGGTGGACTTGTCGGACCTCAGCTACGTGCTGCAGACCCGCCGAACAGCGCACCGAGCACGGGCTTTCTTCTCTTCGTCCTCGCACCAGGGCTTGGTCAGCGGCCTGCAGAAGTTCATCTCCGACAACCAGAAAGTGGCGAAGAAGGACACCATCGGGATCCGCCACCAGGCCATCAACCCTAGCGAGACGCCGGGCATCCTGGGCGTGTTCACTGGCCAAGGCGCCCAGTGGCCCGGCATGGGTCGCATGTTGCTCGATCACTCCCCGCTTTTCCGGGAGGTGCTCGACAGGTGCGATGCCGTGCTGCAGGCGCTGCCCGACCGTCCCGAGTGGCTCCTCGTGGACGAGCTGCGCAAGGATGCCGATACCTCCCGCGTCGGCGAAGCTGCCGTCTCCCAGCCGGTATGCACGGCCATTCAACTCGGTCTCCTGGAAGTACTGTTCGCCAGTGGGATCGACTTCGACGCCGTGGTCGGCCACTCGTCCGGCGAGATTGCGGCCGTCTACGCCTGTGGCATCATCTCCCTGGACGCGGCGATGCAGATTGCCTTCTACCGCGGCAAATACGCGGGTCTGGCGCAGGGGGCGAACGGGGAGCGCGGCGCGATGATGGCCGCGGGGATCAGCTATAACGAGGCGCAGCGGTTCTGCAGGCAGCTCGAGTACCAGGGCCGGATCAGCGTGGCGGCCAGCAACGGCGTCCAGAGCGTCACCCTGTCCGGGGACAGCGACGCCATCCAGCAGGCCAAGGAGCACTTCGACCGCGAGAACGTGTTCGCGCGCCAGCTGAAGGTCGACACCGCCTACCACTCGCACCACATGCAACGCTGCGCCGGCCCTTACCTCCAGTCCCTCGAGGCCTGCGACATCCAGGTCCGCCGGCCGCGCGACGGCTGCTTCTGGAACTCCAGCGTCCGCGGCGACACCGAGCTGCTGCGGGGAGACCTCCAGTCCCTGAAGGGACCCTACTGGGTTCAGAACATGGTGCAGACGGTGCTGTTCTCGCAGGCGGTGCGCTCCTCGATCTGGCACGGGGGCCCGTTCGATCTGGCCATCGAAGTCGGGCCGCATCCTGCGCTGAAGGGTCCCACGGAGCAGACCCTGGAGTCCGCCTTCGGCACCGCTCCCTCCTATACCGGTGTTCTCAAGCGTGGCGCCAGCGATGTCGAGGCGCTGTTCGACGCGATCGGCTTTACCTGGGCCCATCTGGGACCGCAGTTTGTCAGCTTCGCGGGTCTCCGACGCGCCTTGGTGCCGGAAGGCAGTCGACGCGCCCCCAGGCTCTTGAAGGACCTCCCGTCGTACTGCTGGGACCACGACCGGGTCTACTGGCGGGAGTCTCGCATCTCGGCACGATTCCGCAAGGGTAATGATGTGTTCCACGAGCTGCTGGGTCGCCGCACGCCCGACGACACCGATCGGGAGCTGCGCTGGCGCAACGTCCTCAAGCTCAGCGAGCTTCCGTGGGTCAAGGGCCACGAGATCATGGGCGAGCCCCTGTTGCCTGGTGCCTCATACGTGGCTCTGGCGTTCCAGGCCGGACAGGCGATCGCGGCCGGCAGGGCCGTGCAGTTGATGGAGGTGCAGGACGTGGAGATCCGGCGGCCCATTGTGGTGCCGGACTCGCGTGAGGGCCAGGACACGATCTTCACGGTGCGGCTGCTGGAGAGCGGCAACCCCAAGGTCATCGAAGGCCATTTCTCCTACTGTTACTGCTCGGATCCCAGCACGGGCGCCATGGTCCACACCTGCGAGGGCCGCTTGATCATCCACCTCGGCGAGGCTGAGGGCGACGAGCTGCCCCCTAGCGCCCCGGCGCCGCCCAACTTGCTCCCCGTCGACAGCGAAGAAGGCTACGAGGTGCTGGCGCAGGCGGGTCTGAACTACACGGGCATCTTCCATCGCCTGCAGGACGTCGCACGTCGGCTGGACTTCGCCGAGGCCAAGGCCGAGTGGTCGGCCGAGGAGCTGCGCGGAGGATACGTCGTCCACCCTGCGTTGCTGGATGTGTCTTTCCAGAACCTGTTCCACGCCCGCGCGGACCCCAGTGCCGGAAAGCTGCCGACCAGCGTGCTGCCCGTGCATATCAAACGCGTGGCCGTGAACCCAAGGGTCACCCTTGGGGCGGAGGCCGGCACCATCCGCACGGTGACCCAGTCGTTCATCACGGCGCGCAACGGCCTGTCGCTCAGCGGTGACATCCATATCTATGATGGGGTGACCGGAGAAGCCGCGCTGCAGGTGGAGGCGCTCTCGGTGAAGCCCATCGCGCCGCCCACGGCGGAGCAAGACCGCCGGCTGTTCTTTGACACCGTCTTCATGGCCGACCCGTCGCTCTCGCTGCTCGAGCCGCTGCGTGACGCCGGCGACGTCGAGCGCGATACCGCCCTCGTGGCCGACATTGATCGCGCCGTGCTCTACTACGTGCAGCGGGTGCTGGAGCAGGTCGACCCCAGCGAGGTGGCCGGGCTCTCGTGGTATTTCCAGCGCATGCTGGACTGCTTCGAGCACTGGGTGCAGGTGGTCCGCGAGGAATCTCACCCGCTGGCCCAAAGCGGCTGGCTCGACGACCGGATCGAGGTCATCGAGGAGATCTTCAGCCGCTGGCCAGGCCAGATTGATATCGAGATCGTGCGCGCCGTGGGCGAGAACCTCATGGACGTGCTGCATGGCAAGACCCAGATGCTGGAGGTCCTGATGAAGGATGACCGCTTCGGCCGCATGTACTACGAGGGCTGCGGTTTCGCCGTCGTCAATGCCGGCATGCGCAACGTCCTCCAGCAGATCTCCAACAAGTATCCTCAGGCCAACTACCTGGAGATTGGTGCTGGAACGGGTTCCACGGTAAGGAGCTTTCTGTGTTCTATACTTCCCGCGTGTTCCATTGCTGATAACTGTCTTATAGTC